CATGCCTTTTTGAACAGTATTCATTCCCTTGATGTCTACAATATCACCTTTCTTGTAGATTCCCATATATGTGGCCAAAGGAACAACTCCATGTTTTCTAAAAGGCCTAGAGAACATGTATTGGGTGCCTCTCCTTTTTCCCTTTGTGTTCGTCATTTTGGTGAATTACTGAAAGATGGCGTCTCGGGTGGAAAGGCTCAATCAATTTTTTTGAGGAGAGAAACACAGTGAAGTTGCTCTACTTAAAAGAATACAGCAAAAAATGAAACATCCCTCCCTTCACCCTGTCAGCCCTTTCATTTACCACGTGCTCCCTCCCTCCTCAGGCAAGTTCTTAAAGAGGTGTCCATATTGGTACCTTTCAACTCTTTCCTGTCACCTGCTTACCTCCCAAGCTCTGGGATCTGTCTTTTGCCTCCACGGCCTGGTGATACAGTGCTTACCATGTTACAAATGGCTGTAGGATTATCACACCCCAAAGAACACTTTCTAGGTCTTCACTTACTTGACCTGGAGGCTGCATATGGCAATGTGGACCACAGCCTTTTTTTTTGAGACAAAGTCTCACTATGTTGCCCTTGGTAGAGTGCAGTGACATCACAGCTCACAGCAATCTCCAACTCTTGGGCTTACGCAATTCTCTTGCCTCCGCCTCCCAAATAGCCAGGAGTACAGTTGCCTGCCACAATGCCCAGCTATTTTCCTGTTGCAGTTGTCATTGTTGTTTAGCTGGCTCAGGCTGGGCCTGAACCCACTAGCCTCAGTGCATGTGGCTGGCACTGTAACCAGCGCAGTAACTGCTGTGCTCCGGGCGCTGAGCCACTACCTCCTTGAGAGACTGTTTCTACCATGTGTCCATGGCACATTCTCTCTTTGTTCCTCTCCTATTTCAACACCTGCTTCAGCCTCAGCTTCAGCCTTTAATGACTACCCGTGAGTGCTGATGTGTGGCTCTAAGTTCAGCCACCAGCTACCTTCTCATCTTGTACCTTCTAGGGCATTCATCTACTGATGGCTTTGGCTTTAACCTTCATGTCCACAATGCTCTAATTTTTCTCCAGGCAACTCAGTTAATTTGCTGTCCAAGGGAAATAAAATTTGAGTCATATATGTAATTTCAAAATTTCCAGTAACTACATTAAAAAGCAACAGGTGGCTCGGCACCTGTGGCTCAAGTGGCTAAGGCGCCAG